CAGATCGTGTAGTCATTTTATACCAAAGGAGATGAAAGTAGGTCTATGATCATGAAATTCACCAGACATTTCACATTTGGTACCATTCAGTCTGATACACAGCAATGTGACTGCCAATCAATGGTGAAGTTGAAGTGCCAGCTTAAAACAATATCCTAATTTACAAAGATAGAGTGCTGTCTTCCAGAACAGAATATACACATTTATTTAAAGATTTTACGTAGTACCATGTACCGATTCACTAAAGACTGTGTTTTCTTCCTGCCCTTCAGAACTCTGCTCTATAGAGTGTGAAAGGGGCATACTTTGAAGAGGAGACACAGAAAGCATCCCATTGAAGTATAAACTACATGTGCTTCGTGAGCATTTTGGACTCATTATGTCCAGGAATGAGCTACCGAGAAATAGCTGTCTTGACAGGGTTAATCTAACCTGATCAGCATGGGGATAGGACAGGGCTGCTGTTAGGCAGTGTGCCCCAGGGCATCTACTTGGGTGTCCTTTGGCTCTCCTTTGCTCACTTGTGATTATAAAGCTAGCACCCTCAGCCTCAGAAAGACATGATGATATGACTAGGGGCTCTCACTTCTCAGCGGTGATAATCCAAAGATTAGGGGTTTGGGTTTTGATCTGAAATGTAACCCAAAAGCTTGTGTGTTGAAGGTTTGAAACCAGTGCAGCAGTATTCTGAGGTGGGGCCTTTGGGAACCGATTGGATCATGAGGGCTCTGACTTCATTAATGGATTCATGGATTCATGGCTGGATGGGGTATTGGGAGGTGGTAGAAACTTCAGTAGATGGAAGAAGTAGTTCACTGAGGTCAGGCCCTAAAGAGTGTATTTTGTCACTAGTTCCTCCTCCTCTTTCTGTTTCTGGCTGCCATAGGTGAGCAGCTTTGCTCCACCCTGTGCTCCCCACTATGATGTTCTGCCTCACTACAAGCCCAGAAACAATGGGGCTGAGCAATCACAGACTGAAATCTCTGCAACTGTGAGCCAAAAATAAGCCTTCCTCCTTTTAAATTGTGTCCTGCAGGTATCTTGTGATAGCGACAGGAAGCTGAGTGGCATAGGAATTTCCTTTGAGGTGAATCCAACACCGTGACACCCAGTCTGACATGTACAGGTATAGGGCTAACAAGGCTGACTTTGAAAGCAGAACTATTCCAGAAAATTCAGGAAGTCTGGCTGAATCACAGCAGGGGACATCTGTGCTCCAATGTTCTTTGCATTTTAGAAAAGTCTTTGTTTTTTATTTAGCAAAGAAAAGGACAGTTCACAGAGAAGTCACAGGTTGTTCAAGTTTGACCAGAATCTCAACTGGAGAATCAGCAAATTGTGAGTTTGGTATAAAATATGTGTATCTGTAATAAGAGCACCCTTTGCTACTGTGAACAAAGTAGCATAATAGTCACTTCTGCTCAGCAAAGTGCTTCTTGCTTTGAGTTGACAAATATGGATCAAAAACATCAGTCCCTCACAGAACTCTGGGATCTACCTCCAGTAGGAAGGGAAGTATTTAGAAAGGTAGGGAAGTTCTAGGGACTCTGGACAAGAAGGCTGGGTTCTTCTTAGATTTGCGCATAAACTAACACCAACTTGGAAACATATTTGATCAGAGTGTCCCAAGGATATTTAAAATCTGAGATATGAACTGCTTATTTTCTGGATGATTCACCATCTAATTTCTCTAGAACTTTCTTGCAGCAATTTCAGAAAGAGTAAAAGGAAATTCTTATCCCTTGCATTATGATGCTTTGGTAGAAACAGAAAGCTAAAGTTCAAGCATTTTTTGAAACCTCTGGGGAGAAGAAACTCACAGGCAAAATATCTGCACACATATAATCATGGAGAAAAGTCTGCCCTGGCTCCTGCTTTTTTCCCCCAGGCCTGGGGATTGAATCTAATGCCTCAAGCTTGTTAGGCAAGTGCTTTCTACCAAGGTACATGCATCGCACTTTAAAAAATTTTTGAGACAGGGTCTTTTTGTTTTGCTCAGGCTGATCTTGAATGTGTTAAGTGCCTGCCTCAGACTCCTGAGCAGTGAGAATCATAAGTATGTGCCACTGTGCCTGGCTCTTGTCTTTTTTTGTTTTTGACTCAAACATTTAAACTGTTGCAAAAAACATTCATATGTGTAGAATATTCCAGTTTGTGTCTACATGACCATTTCTCACATATGCAACATCCTACTAAAATGTATTTTCTGGAAAGTTTTCTAGATAGATCAGAACATATTTGCCTTTGTTGTTTTGACTTTATTCCAACACTTTTTTTTTTTTACATTTTTTCAGGTGTGGACATTTATGCTTATTTTGCCCCATGGGCATATGGCTATGATTTGAGAGAATAATAAATACTGATAAAATGCAAAAGGATTTTTGAAGGAACCTAATAATACAGTGGGTGGGGTAACATTCTCTCTACTACTGGATGCTTGTAGAAGACCAACTGCAGCCTTGAAAATGCTTGCTGTATTTCCTGATTACTGTAGGTCATGCACAATGAGAGGTGGTTTATGTCAGGGAGGAACTAGAGGCAGCTGGCACCAGCTGACCAGTGCTGATTGTGTACATCTCTTCCCAGGCTCAGATTCAGCAGTGTCACCTTGGTAGCTTCAATTGAGCCATGGAGGGAGTATGTGTACCACAGGGATCAGCAAATGATGAGATCAAGGTGTTTTTGTGTTTTATTTAATTCAATCCAGCAAGTCAATTTATCAATGCTCTCTATTCATGTATTCTTTAAAATTTTCCACATCTATTTTTCACAGGCTTATACTTCCTCTATATTCTTCAACATGTAGAATGTATTTATAACACCTATTTTAATTTATTTGTTTACTAATTCTATGGTCAGAGGTTGGCTAGCTGGGGATAGAATATAGTGTGCAGTCTGTTTTTATGTGGTCCATGAGCTAAGAATGTCTTTACCTGTGTAAAGGTTGTAAACAGACATCAGCCACTGGGAAAATTCAAATAACAAACATAAGACACCACCTCATAGTTACTAGGATGAATATAATAAAAAGAAAATAACAAGTGTTGGTGAAAATGTGGAGAATTTGGAACCTTCATAAACTATTGGTGAGAATGGTACAGCAGCTTTGGAAAAACCGGTTTGGCACTTCCTGTAAAGGTTAAACCACAGAGTTGCCCTATGATCCAGTGTCAGAGACCAGAGGTGAACTGAGGCCTAATTGGCCTCCTCTGTGAGCACAGAGGAGAAAGGCTGCATTCAGGGGTGATTGCATTTTGCAGGTTCTAGGGAAAACTTAAGACAGCTGAGATTAAGTTGTTTACCAGAATATGTACTAGTGGATATTGGAAAGCAGATGAAGTTTGTGTTACTTTGATTGCTTGTACTCTTGTTTGGGTGAATAAAGGAAAGATGAACCAGACACTAGGTGCTCCTCTGTCTCCTAGAGGTACTAGCTCCCTGGCTGCCTGGGTGTTAAACTGACTCCGTGTCTCTTTGTCATTCACCCTCATCCTCCTTCTCCCCATCAGGGAAAACAAAGTAGTGGAAGGTCCAGGTCTTGGAACAAGGCTGGCTGAGTAGGTCAGCTCCAGGTGGCTTGGAACTCAGGCTAGGCTACAATCCAGCCAGTCTATTTCCAGGTATACATGCAAGGGAAAAAAACCATACAATGAAACAAATGTTCATAGCAGTATTTTTCATAATCATAATTATTTATAAAATGTGCAAGCAACCTAATGTCTACTGGCTGATATTCTTTGGTAATATGAAGATGTGATATGTACTGTAATACAGATGAACTTTGAAAATATTATCCAAGGGAATGAAGCCAGTTAGAAAAGGCCATGTATTGTATGATTCCATTTATATGACATATTCTGAACAGGCTAGTCCAAGAGACAGAAAGTAGAATGTTGGTTGCTAGGGACATATAACTCACCACATTTTAAAATCATTTTTATGTGACTGAAAACTACTTGTTAGGGATGTGCTAGAGAGTGGCTGCTAAATGTGCATGGTTTCTTTTAAGAGTGATTGTAATGGTTTGAACCTGAAATATCCCCCAAAAGTCTCATGCTCACAGTTGGGGCTTTTGTAAGGTGGTTGGATCATGGGGTGCTATACTCACCAGAGGATTCATTCACTAATGAATTCAGTAGCTAAGTGTACTGTTAAGTGGGGCCTTGTTGGAGATAAGGCCTGGAAGACTGTATTATTGTCCCTGGATTCCCCCCTTTCTCACTGTTTCTTGGCTTCCATGGGTTAGGCAGCTTTCCAGTGCCAATGCCCCTCTACCATGCCCATTTCTGCCTTGCAACCAAGCAACTATGGACTGAATCCTCCAAACTATGAGGTTAAATAAACCTCTCCTCCTTTAAATTGCAGATGTCGAGTGTTTTCTCTGTGATGGAAATGTGACTAATACAATGATGAAAATGTCTTAGAATTTATTGTGGTGATGGGCATACAACTCAGCAAATATACGAAGAAAACACTAAATTTAATACCTTAAAAGTATAAATTTTTATGATAGCTCAATAAAATGTTGTTTTAAAAAATGTGGTTCCTAGACTTTGGGATTTCACAGACCAGTAGAGCACTGCTGAAATAAAATTCAGGAATTTACCACAGATACGTACTGTGATTGGTTGTTTGTTTTTGGTAATCAAGAGCATTTAATGGCCATTTAGTTATGATATAATTTCCTAAATGAAAGGGAATTTCTAAGGACTACAGATTAATCATGAAGGAAGAACCATTCTTTAATTGGAATGTAGGTTCATTTTAAAAAAGCATTATATAATTTTTATATGTTACTACAATGATATATAACACACCATGTTTTAAAAGCATTTTTATGCAGCTGAAAAGTAATTGTTAGTACTTTTAAAAATTTTTATAAAGGACTCAAATACAGAAATAGTTGACATAGAAGAAGTTCTGTAAACCTTGAATTTTATAGTCATGTAAATAGGTTATTACTTTTTATATGTATTTGAATAATTGATTCATTGATAATATAAATTTTAAAACCTTAGTTGATAAAACTTTATTCGAAATATGTAAAGAACTGTATAGTTCAAAACTGCAAAAATAAAATACAATTTATGGTAACTTAATAATAAAGACTACCTAAAAACATATTGCCAATCTACTATTTAAAATACATTCTCAAATTCAAAGCTAATCATTGTATTTCTGTATTTTGTAACATCTAAATCTTCTTTACTCAAGTACACTGTTATGCAAATGTTGCAGCTCTATCACTTAAAAATATAACGGGTCACTTCTGACAAGCAAAAATACATCATGTTGTTCATTTCTTATACATCAAAATAAAATAGTTCAAATGACTAGAAACTAATTTTCATTAATAAAAACCCTAAAAGTTAGTAAAACATTTCTCTTGAAAACAATGGACTACCATTCTGAATTGAGCTACAGGAGGACCTATTCCTGCCTGAAGCCTCTCCAGATTATCTCCTGTGTATTTATTTAGTCAGGACATTTGCAAAATGCTTTTCGCCAGGTATTAATCAGGACTCACAGTACTCAGGTGCTAGGAAATAGCCAGATTAACTTGAGTTTACACAAGGAGAACCATGACACAAGGGGAGATCTCACCAGGGACAGAGTGAGACCTAATTAGCTTTTGGCTTCTTATAGGAATGTTTCTTCTAGCAGAGGACACTAATTTGTTTAATGATAGGAGTAAAAATATTGGAATTTTTTGTGGGAGAATTAATTTTGGCCCCATAAACAGAAAGTTTAGAACACAGAAAAGGTAAGGATTTTAGTGTGAAAAGGGTTAAGAAGAGGAAAGTTAAAACCAGAATAAAGACTCTTCAGACAGAGATCACTTTTCAGAAGTAAAAATAGCAAAACAAGAATAGAAAAAAGAGGTATATAGTTTCTCATTTTTAAACCAAGGGGCTTGTATAAAATTACTTTAAAAGAAGGATCTCTCTTGAACATAACCCTTAACATCTTATCCCTCCCCCATAAGCCCCTATGATATAGAGAGCACTAACCTATAGGAATACAACTGAGTAGTAAAGAAGTTAAGAGGTTAAGACCACATAAAGAGTGAATAGGCTGGAACAGATGTTATGTCTTAAAACACTGGCTTAGAAATAGAAACAGAAGGTAGAGGATAAACAGGAACTTTTATGGATGGACAAGTGGAATAATCCAGGGATCCAGTAGCAATACCAGCTACTTAACTTTTCTTTTTTTGACAAAGGGCTTGGAATTTCAAGTATACAATGAAACCAAAGATGACAAACACTCATCTGAGTATGAAATGCTCAGCTGAAAAGAATATATGAAATAAATTCTTCCAAGGTTATGTGGAAAAAACAAAGACATAAGTGAAGTACAGAGTGGACAAGAGTAGGCATTTAGTTCAAACTGCTGTTGTTTCTAATATATAACGAACGTTGGGGATCAATAAGACAAGAGAGAGGAATTTAATTTAGCCTGATCAATATGCTAGGGTAGATTAAAAAATAACTCATCATTATCAGAAAGTGTATTGGAAAACAAAACAAAGATGCCTGTTTACTTGGAAAATCATGTGCAACTCAGGGCTTCACAGATCCACTATGAGTTATTAAGAAAAATTAACCTCCAAAGGAGACACGTAAAACATTTCTTCATGGCTGTCAGACACATATGTCATAGGAACAGCCATAGTTCTAGTCAGTGTAGCAAATCTGATGTTCTGGATTCTCACGGAGGCTTCCCCTCAAGGTTGCCTCTAATTGACTTTCACCATTAAGTCCCATGCTATGGCAATAAATATAACCAGTGTAGGTCATAATACCAAGGATCCTGCCAAGCCACAGGAGACCTGATCATAGAAACTTTAAATGGTAGTGTTAGGGAAAAATCCACAAGAGGGCAATTGCCCACCTCCTTATATAAAGCAAAAGATGGAAATATCTGAGAAAGCTGCATTTGGATTATTGAGTGTTTGGGATGGCAACTGTAATTTAAAAGTAACTTTAAGTCCAAGAGTGTATTTCCTTGGATCCAACTGACATGTCTTCTATGTAACTCATGTGCATGCAACAACTGTGAGCAGCACAGCTATAGAATGGGAGGACTCAGAGGATAGTATCCTGCCTATTGCCAGTTCATGGAGTTGTTGCTTTCCCATACAGTTACATGATGCTGATACTCAGAACATCTGTTCTTCTGAAACTCAGGTATGTAACTCTAAACTTCTCAGCTAGAGAACAGGAATGTAACTAGTATTTTCTGATGTAGGGAGGTATGTCATTTGATATAGATCAAAGCCTTAGCTTCCAAACATTGGGATAATCTGATTGTGATCAATGGAATGGATTTATTGATAACAATGGATTTATTCATAACAGTGGACTGAAGAATGTTTTTTATTTGTCAGTAATAGTTTCGCTTCTCCCTGAGATTCATAGGGAACTTCTATAGCATGGTCCCAACTGATAATTTATGACAGAAAGATGTTTAGTGTCTTCTAAATTTTTAAAAATATTCTTTTAGTCTAGTCTACTCAGCAAGCTACAATTAAGCTGAAACTTAGAGCAGAACAATTAGTACAACAACTGACATACAGTAAGAATACACAAAATAGTTTACAAATTTAAGCTAGCAAGGTAAACTTTAAGATATTCTCTCTCTCTTCTACACACATACACACACCCAAAAAGAAAAAGCTGTCACTGGGGATTAATGCCAGAAAAATTCTACTCAGCAAGTTGCTGACTTTACCCAAGCATAAAAGTGGAAAAAACCTGAGAAGTTCTTAAAAATGTTACAGCTGTATAATTCTTTAAATTATTTTGACTTGTGTTAATCTATCTATATACATACACTAGGAGTGGTTGGTTAACATGTGAAGTACCCTATAAGGAATGCACCCTCCAAGAGCTGTAGCCTTTGAAAAACCCTGGTCACTTCAGAGACTGTTACCCTGAAACTATCTATAGCTCAATACCAGAAACTTTGTTAATAAGTGAATGTTTTCTGTGGTCAAATTAGTGATGTTAAAGGTATGTGGACTGGCTCTAATAGGGTAGGGCACCCCAGCCCTTGTATGAGCAAGCCCAGTGGACCTGGGATTCCTCTCATTCAGTGCAGAAGTCAAATACTCAATTGGTTGTCTGGTTGAATCTGCTTAAATATTATTGGACTCTTAGGTAGGATGGTGCTGCAATGTCTAGAAGGATAGGAAAGAGTTGGGATGTTTTCAAGCTTACAGGACAGGTTGGATGACTGTTCTGGTGCCTGCCTGCTTATATACATGCATGACTCAGTGCTTGGTCTAAGACCTGTGTTCAGTGCAGAATGTCACCTGGTGAGGGTAAGAGGAGAAGACATATACTCTCACATACCTTTATCTACTGATGGCTACTAAAACAACCTAATGGTTGTGAATGCTCAGATTCCATACATTTTAATAGGTGTCACAAGATTAGCTCAGTCATAAAATTAGTTTCTAGTTTTATAGGGATGCAAGTTCTTGGGTCTTCTATAAGGTCTGTAAATGACCTGTGATGAAGGAAGGGCTCAGCAGTGAAGCATAGGAACAAGAGCAGAACAGAGCAGAGCCACCGGTGGTGACCCTTACATGTCTACTTCACATCCTTCTGCTCTTCTCTTGGCTTTCTACCCAAGCCACCCTTTTTTCCAGCTGTCCACTTTACAAGTGTTATCACCTCTGGGAGTTCAGTAAAGGTGAGACAAACAGAGCAATGAGTGTTGTATTTCAGAGAGCTAAGCTGAGGAAGGGCTAGTAGAGCTGTTTCTGCCCACCGAAATTGAAGCAAGTGGGGAAGAGTGGTTTTGATTATTTAGGTGGTTGCTTTCATAACTATGGTTAATATAATGTAGGTGAATCTTCTGAAAATTTAGAGGTCAGACACAAAGTAAAAATGAGCATATGCATTTGCTTTCATTTTTAACACTTAAGGTTTTTTTTCCATATATCCTTTTATGTCTTTGCTTTAAAATAAAGGAAATCAAGACAATTCTATTTTCTAATATCAAAAGCAGATTTGAAACAAGAAACAACTGACCAGTGGTCAGCATGACTTTCACTGCATGTTGTGAGGGCTCCTGAAAATAGGACTAAACAGAAGTCTGGTCCTATTCAGTGAGATGATATGCTTAGTGTGCTTTCCCTAGAATCCTGTCCATACTATCCACTCAATAATGTGAACTATTACTAGTGGTAATTTGTAAAATGAGAGCAACCACCAGTTATAGCAACAACATATTTTCAAACTTAAAAGGCTGAGATTCAGATATGAAGCTTTCCATATGACACATGTTCATTATAATAAAAAGAGTATCTTGCCATCTGCACTCAGCTGTACTCAAATTAAGTCAAACTGCAATTTCCATGTTGCTGCCTGGTTCTCCCCCAGGGACACTACAGTACTCTAAATGCTGGCAAGGGCACTGAAAGTTTAGCTTTGACATGCAACATAAGAGAGTCAACTTGAAGAGAACTTACAATTTCTCATCTCTTATCACCTTGTTTAATTCTCACAATTCTGAGAGGCTGGCAGGGAAGGTATTATAATCTCTGCTTTATGGATGGTGACAACTGATACCCTAGACAGGTTAAGTGAATTGCCTAAGCTTCTATGGCTAGAAAGGGGCAAAGCCAGAAGTTGAACCTTTCTTTTGATTGCTGGCATAATGGTCTATCCTTTGCACCACAGGGAATAGGAAGCTTGAAAGCAGGCTCTATTGTACATGAAGAATAGTACCAGGAAACCAGCATAGTGCAGGGAAAGACTGAACAATCACAGACAAAATTGTGAATTTTATACTGCTATGAAGGATGACTTAGGAAGTCATTTTCAACAGAAGGATGAAGAAGCTGTCTTGTTCCTGAGTAAGGCCACAGAAAATAATGAGGGGACCAGTTCATTTAGTTTACAGCATATTTTTAATCACTGCTACTTGTATGTTATAGGGAAGCCTAGTACAGGTAAGAATTTCACATCATGTGCTCCTAGAGCCCAGACTTCTTTAAATTTGGAACATGTAAGAAAGCCAGGCAGAGGGCGAACCCTCATAGAAAATACATCACTACTATTTAAGATTCCTAACCCATTCCATCAGGTCAATTCTAGGTGGTGCAGACACTTCATGTCAGGGTGGTGTGCAGTCCTGGGGATGGACCGCATACAAAATAGGCAATAAAGCCTGTGTTTAAGGTGAGCATGCTTCCACTTTCCCTTGGAATCCAAGGCTGCAACCAAAAGCAGTACATGCTACAGGGATTTTTTTCTGTTGGGGTGTTTTAGTAAACCAGTTATGGAAAGAGTATCTAATATCAGCTGTGAATCATATAGCTCAGCCTAACTCATGGACCTATAAAAGTCTAACTTCAAAATTAAAACAGCATTGTCAAGTAGTCTACACTCCAGATTTAGAGGCCTACAGGCTAATTGTGGATGGCATTTTTTTGGTTCAGGGGATGGCTGATCAAATCCTTTTAAAGCTCCTCTTTATTTAGCAAGGTTTTTAGAGAGAACAGAGGGGAGACACCAGGACTAGCAAGTATAGAGTTATATGACCCATGCAAAGGGCCAATAGCTATAAAATCTACCAGTTTGTTCAAGAAATATCATAGCTGACAGGGAAAGACAATATCAAACTAGCTTGTTGCATGAGAAGAGTCTACATCCTAAAATTCCTTTTCTATAACTAAACCAAGAAATGTTAGCCGTAGACAGTAGATTCCTCACAGGGCTATCGGAAACAGGACAAAGGGCTTCTGAAATTCAGTGCTTCCAAATCCCTTTCTGTGGTGCAAATGAAGATATCTCTACTCTCCCTGTGTCCACTGTGCTTTTGTTAAGCTAATTCAACAACCTAATTCCCAGTAGTACACTCAAAACCATTCCCAGAATGTAGGACATTTTAAAGCTTTCTAGAGGCAAGGTACCACCATCTCCTTTCCATAACATCCAGAATTTATTTATGAGATACTTTGCTGTTAAGGAGGGCTCTGACCATAGTCATTTTATTAATGGAGAAATATTGCAAAGATTCCTATACCTTCAGTTACACTAACTCAGTGATGGCATTCTAAGTAATAAAGTTGATTATCTTTTCTACAAAGGGCAGTAAACTCTTACTCTGAGGTAGCTCAGGGATTCAGCAATGAGGGTCATTAGAATTTACTCTTTGATGCTCTACAGGCATTGCCTTTAAAATTGCTTATTACCTAGCCAAAGCATTGAGATGGAATTGAAACATCATTTTTCCCAGAAATCTTGGTCACCCAAGTTATGGAGGAGAGTGTATTACTATTGTAGAAAAACATGTAGAGTTTCTCTGACAAAGCATGGGAAGTAGAAAAAGAAAACAAACAAGATCTAAAGTCAGCATAACATGAATCATAAAGTGTCTTTGGCATCTCATTATAAATCTATGTTAATATTCTTTCCCCTGTAGCTTGGAAACATGTCCTATTCCATTTATTTCAGTGCTTATGCCATCTTTCTTAATACATAAGCTTGTGGTTTTTTAAAAAATCTGCAATACACCTCATCTTCCAGAATGCACAATAAAATTACGTGTTAAGATGTGAGGGGGAGTGACTTGACATTTGTGTGTGTACCTGGGATCCTTCCATCTCTGCTCACCCCACTGTAATTACTACTGTCAATTTCAGCAATGAAAGTTGACAAAAGGAGATGAGAACTCTCAAGGCAGACGTTTGCAGACATCAATGTGTTGTGGGATACTCTGATAGAAAAGTCACTGTATTACTTACTTTTTGGCATCTCTTCACTCTTGACCAAGTAAAGTAGGGAAGGAAAAACATAGGACATGTCAGTTTAGCATACATTGCATACTGAAATAGCTTTTAAATTTTTTTTTCAAATGTTCCACCTGGCTTTTAAGAGCAGGAGTTATTTCATGGCAATTTTCCAGTAGTCTTTTCTGAGGTAGATAAAACATGGAAGATAAGTAGTCTGAAGAATGCAGAAGGGTGGCTAATGCTTGTGTAGACTGAGATTAATTTGAAAGAAATTTCAGAAGTGAAAACTGAGCTTGCACTAGAGGAGAGAGGGGCAGGGCTATACACCATTTAGGTGGGGCTTTTAGAACTTAATAGGTAGGATGCAGGTGAATCTGGAGGTAAACAACAGGGTTATGGGAACAATGGCAGAGCAAGAGCTGAACCTGGATTACCCACAGCTGGTTATGAGTGGGGAGGAAACAGGAAGGATGGTGGGTCCCTCGGGACCTTATATAATAATGTGAGAGTTGAAAGCAATGGGCAGTTTTGACAGTTTAAAATGTTTTTTGTGGTCGTTCTGGATGAAAAGCCAACTTTGTCTCTTTCCTTGAGCCTCTGTTTGCACACAGGTACTATAATTGTATTCTGCATGTTGGGGAAATCTAAATTCTGGCTAAACAACTAGTGAAATAGATTCAGAACTCATTTTTCTACGTTTGAGTTACAGAGGAACAGGCTGGCTGCCTGAGACCCAGTGAGGTTAACACTACCAGCTGGGGCCTTTCTTTCTGGAGAATCACTGCAGTCATCACAGGCAGATGCTGTACTTTCAAATGAACATTCCATCATAGGCCAAATGTTAGTAGTTAAACACCAGCATCACAGATACACACAAAACGACAGTCAAGTTCACAAACACAGCTGGTGGTGTTAAGAAACCCCTAATGAAGGAAAGAAATCTGCTATTAGCTCCAAGCCATTCATCAAGACTTTTAATACACTTAGATTGGGACTGTTATATGAGAGGGAGTAAAATAACTATTGGCCTCAGTTTTCTCTCCCCAATCTAAGACTAAACATTTGTTAGAACACCCATTGGAAAATGAAAAAAATCACACATAATGTTCTCGTGGGTTAATGTAGACTTTCTCAGGGTCGGTGCTTAGATGTTTGCCAGTGCTCAGGTCTTCATAGCACATCTGATTGTAAAGGGGGTACATCTGCTGAATTCCATCTTCTCCCACTGAGTTCTCATCTTCATAGTCAAATCTCCTGCTACTTAGTCCATTCTGAAAATTCAAACATTGCTTACATTAGCAGAGCAGCTGTTTGCATTTTTCAGCACTTTGGTAAAAACAGGCAAAAAATAGAATGCATTAAAGTTTGTGTCCCTGATTTATTACTCCACAAGGAATTGAATGGCAAGGTAAAGTTCAACAACTTGTCATTTTCCAGTCATTTATTGAGTAAGAATGGTGGTGGCTCCTAAATATAAAACTGCAACTAATGGGAACTGTGATCAATTTCAGGTTTTGGAATTTGGAGTTAGTATCAGCTAAGGTAAACTGGAGAAGAACAAGGCTGTGAACTTCAGAAATCTCTCAAGCAATGTCCAAGACTGAGCTGATTAGGTGAGATATACAAGGAATTGAGCAAACACAACAAAAGAAAACTCAAGATTCTGCACTGTGGAATTAATAAAGGAAAGCAAAATGAACTGGCATGTGTCCATTATATACCTGACAAAACAGAGTAAGAAATGCTGCCAAAATATTCTCTCATCTTGACCTTTTTGACTGGGTTGACTTTGGGCCACAGCTGACACACAGAATTAATTCCCCCTGACGCTCTGTATTATCTCTGGTATTGACACCCCCTGACTGCTTATTGGTTTCATAAAACTTGGTTACTTCTGAGATTTCTTAGACTTAATTCTTGGAATACTCCTAAGAGTAAGTAAGCTCAAGGACTTTACCAAATGATAGCACACTAAAATAGAAGTGAGTTATCTAAAATGAGCTTTTATGGACATCTAATCATATTTTAATAAACATGTTAGCCCACAGCTCCTCCTGAGCTGAAACAATGTGACCATGTTACTTACAGAGGGGAGAAGATTGCCGATATCTCTTTCTTTGAATTGAGTCTGCAGAGGCAAGTGTTCAGTCTGGTAGAAGATATAAAAAGACAAGCAGTTTAAACCATCAAGCACATAGTGAAACATAACAACTAACACCAGCAAGACTCCTGTTCTTAAAAGAACCAATCATATCGTGTTAAATGTCTACTGATTAAGCAAACTGATTTTCCACGGGCAGATGAAAGAAACAACTGCATATTTCTTCTCTCTCACCCCATGTCTGCCTGTTTGGCTGGCTGTCTTTCCCCCTCTCTTTCTCCATCCCTTTCTCCCTCCCTGTGTCTTTCCCCTTCTTGGTTCTAAATGTCTTTTACCAAAAAAAAACCCCCAAAACAAACAAAGAAACAACAACAACAACAACAAAAAACAATACAGCACGTCTGCTGCAGAAGCTCTCATGAAAAATTGTTTATATGTTGCGAGCTCAGCACAGACAGTCTTCCACCTTTTTTCATTGCAAAAGTCTGATATCTTGAATAAGGGAAGAGTGCTTTGGGGTGGCAATGAAGCTTTGTCTACCTGTGGACATTTATATGGTCATTCTTATCTTCCTGCTTGTTACTCTCTCATCCCCTGCCACCCCCCCCCCAGATAATAAAGGGATTCACCACTTTCTAACCTCAGAAGAATCTTTCTCAACTTCCTTCTGCCTTTCAAACACACACTTTAAACACTTCAGATCTTGACTTCAAATATGATATCTTTTGGGAAGTCTTGCCAACACCCTCAGGCAGAGGCAGCTTTCATAGTGTCTTTTATCACAATTATTTCTTTACTTGTCTGCCTCACTAGACTGAGAGTTCTGTTTAGAACACTTATACATATTACTTCATTTAATCCTTATAAATAATTCTACAAAACTGGTATCTCTTATTTATAGATGACTAAATCTGAGGTTCAGAGGGGTTAAGTAACCTGTCTCTAACACAAAGTTGGTAAATTGGAGATTATGTTTCAAACATGGATTTGCTGATTCCAAATCCTTGCTTCTAGCTCAGTTCCTAGATAATAGGTGTTCAGTAAACATAATGCATGAATGCAAAGCTTGCCTGAGTGTCCCAGTGTGTGGGCACATCTGTCCATATGCTTTGTATTTCACTGTCTTTGCTCCTGCCCTCACTTTGGTCTGGAAGTTTTGCCCTTTAACCTCTGAGTTAAAATACTACCCATCCACCATGGCCTGAAAAAAGTCATCTTCTTACCAGAATGGCTCTCCACATTCTCTGCCAAAGTTATAATCTTTTACTCACAGTTGTCCTACTGCTCTTAGTGGTTCCTCTATTATAGTACACATCATGGTATGTCTTGTTTTACAGTCACTTGGGTCTATGGTTTTCAACTCCAGCAAATAGTAAGCCCTAGCTATTACTAAGACCTGAATGTTTGTGGCACCTAAATTTGTGTTGAGACCGAATCTTCAGAGTGAGGGCACTGGGAAATATGACTTTGGGGTGGGGGGTATGTCACAAGTGGAGGGCCCTCATAAATGGGATTCATTCCCTTGTAGGGGCTAAAGAGATCAGGAGTTCACCTTCTACCATGTAAGTTTCCAGAGAAAAATTGTCATCCCAAGAAGATACCCCACCAGACACTGAATCTGCAAGCTCCTTGATCTCTACATTCACAATGAGGAGAAATATAAGCTAACCAGTTTATAGTATTTTGCTATACCATCTCAAATGGACTAAGCCAGGTGCTATACCCATGTCCTGGCCTGGGGTTCTACAATTACAAGAAGTCGGAAGTTAATGAGTTGATTAGAATCTAAATTATCATCAATTCTTGATATCCCTATGTGACCATTATCCATATGACAAATTATATGACAATTTTCTTGTCCCTGCCATATTCAGGATGATTCTAGGGTACTTTTCACATGACTAGTTGTCCTCTTCAGCATCCTGGTGCCTGGGTCTCTCTTGGCACCCCTCTTTAGCAATGGCTCCCACCCTCCACCACAGCAGGGCCAAAGTACTGGTTCCAGAAAGTCCAGGGGCAGGATTGTGCACTCTGTCAGGATTTTGCACATCGGGCAGGTGCATAGAGGTCACATTCCGGCAAAGGCAAGCCTCCTACTCACCTCAGGCTAGGCACCTAAAATCACCATATTGACATTCTTAATTTTTTGGAGTGGGGGGTACCAGAGATCAAACTCAGGACTTGCCCTTTCAAGGCAGGTGTGGTACCACTGGGCTAAATCCCTAGCCTGACATTCTCAATTTTTGAACAAGGGGTCTTTGAATTTTCACTTTGGTCTAGGTCACACACAATATGTGACTGGTCTTAGTTCAAGAAAAATAGACTTGGAAGAAATACCTTAGATGAAAATTAGCATTTTCTTACATTTCTTTGCTGTTATAGATTGCCCTTGTAGTTGTTTCCTTTCTACTTTAATATAGATAATTAAGAAAAGATTCTGCATCACTCATAGCTGAGTTTAATTTGATAAGAGATGGAGAAGCTATTAAACTTCTCTGTAGAGAGGGTGAATATGGGTTTTTTTATGCCACTGGAGCTAATCCATTGTATCTAAAGCAGTTTCTGGATGCCTTTAACAAAGATCTCTTATTTACAAACTCACTTCTCCCAATTCATGTCTTTTATATTGCAACAATGAAACCTAAACTATTTGTGTTGATTTTTAGAAGATCAAGTCAGTAAAGGCCATCATAATCACTAAACTTTTATGAGCACAAAGGAACCTCTGACAAAGACAGGCCACATCTGTTCACTGTTTTCTTCTGTATTCCCAAAGTCTAATAGTCTAACTTAATTTCCAACTCTGACATTTTTGTAGAAGGGAAAAACAATTTAAATGATGATATTCTAAGCAACTTTCAGCTTCCAAAAAATATATATAGAATGTACCAAGTGGAGGGCAACAAAAGATTTCTGATGGTTGTTTCCAGTCCTTATTTAATGGTCCAATCATGTAGGCAAGATAAAGGAAATTGGAATGGCAATCTTTTTAAAAAATGTTTTTTGAGATAGGGTCTCACTGATAGTTCAGGCTGGCTTTGGACTCACTATGTAGCCCAGGCTGGCCTCGAACTTGTGGTGATCTTCCTGCCTCAGTTCCCAAGTGCTGGGATTACAAGTGTGCACCACTATATCTGGCTGGAACAGCAGTCTTGAACAACCTCTGATGGCAATGATAAAAGCTGTCCACATGTAGCCCTTGCTTATCCCTCCCAATCAGTGGCAGTGTGAGTGTACAGCAGTGGTATGGTCAGCCCTGAAAGAGAGCTGTACTCTAGGAATGCAGAGATTGTGGCCTCAAGAGTTCAAGGAAAGATGTGGCTGGAAGATGTGCTGTTCCACGTTTACTCTGTAAAATACCAAATCCTAAATTTAACATGACTAAAAAATGATTTATCATTCATCTCTTCCTGAACTCTTGGTCATCATCAGTGAAACATGGTAACAATCTTTAAGTCCTTGGTAGCCATGATGCAGGGCCATGAGTAGTAATATAACCTGTATTAAATTAATTATATTAGGGAACTGCATGGGTTACCCAAATTTATTTTGTTTGAATACAGATGTCAATGAGCCTTAGGCTTTATGAATAACAATGGGACTGCTATCTTTTTCTCATGGTTGGAGGAAAGAAAGGAAGGAAAGAAAAGGGAAGGAAGAAGAGCAGAGAGAGAAGAGAGAAAGGGAGGAAGGAAGGAGGGAAGGAGGGAGGGAAGGAAGGAAGAAGAGCAGAGAGAGAAGAGAGCAAGGAAGGAAGGAAGGAGGGAAGGAGGGAAGGAAGGAAGGAAGGAAGGAAGGAAGGAAGGAAAAATAGCAATATATTCAGGCATGGTGGTGTAATGCTTGTAAGCTTAGCACTCTGGGAGGCTAAGGCAGGAGGATTGCAAGATTGAGTGTGGGCAATTTAGCAACTTAGCAAGACCCTGTCAAGGAAATGAAGGAAGAGGAGGAGGAAGAAGGAGAAAAAAGGAGGAGAAAGAAGAAGAAAGAAGAGGAGGAAGAGGAGGAAAGAGGAGGAGGAGAAAGGGGAGGAGGAAGAGGACTTGTTAGAATAGCCAGAAGTGGTACTTTGACAATAAAGGACAAGAGAGTTTTTATACCTACAATCTTTCTGTACACTAACTGGACCATAAGTGAGCAGGTAAACTCCCTTTATCTCCTCTTTTAAATCTTCATCATTAAATCACTACACCTCACAGTAGCCTGTACATTTTCTAATGTTAAAATGAAATGTTGAAATTTATTAGCTTTTCTTTCTAATTAATAAACGTAAGTTTTTAGTACTGTTTTAGGTTCATAGAAAAGCTGAGCAGAAAATATGAAGAGTTTTACCTGCCATCCCTATCCTCTCCAACGCACACAAGACACTTCCTACCCCCTCCTCACCATCACCACCTGGCATCACAGGGTTGCATTTGTTACAGATGAGCCTTTCCATAAAGCATTATCACCGGAAATTCAGTTTACATTGCAGTTTGCTCCTGATGTTGCAACCTGTATCAGGTTTAACAAATGTATAATTACATGGATCCACCACTGCAGAATCATAGAAGTTTTCATAAGGTGAAATAGGAAGAAAAGTTCCAAAGGGAAAGGACAAGTGGGAAGGGTAGGGGAAAGGAAAGAAGGGAAAGGGATAAATATTAGAAATGGAAACAAAGTCTTTGTAAATAGGGAGGGGTGAAGGGGTTGAAGGGAGGGGAGGGGAATGGGAAAAAAATAAGAACCAAGATATAATATATATGTGTGTGTGTGTGTGTGTGTGTGTGTGTGTGTATAAAGGTACAAATTCCCAATGATGAATGTCAGCATATTGTATACCAAAATGTATCAATAAAATAAATGAATAAAAAACAAAAAAATCAAAACAAAAAACCCAGTGTACCACCTATTTCAGATCATCGCCAACCCTGGGAAACCACTGTTTTACTCTCTCCATAGTTTTGCCTTTGCCAAAATATAACTTACTTACTTTGAGTCATTCAGTTGGTAGCCTTTTCACATTGGCTTCATTCATTTAGTAACACATATTTAAATGTACCACTTTT